CCAGGGGAGAACAGTCCAGATCCAGGGCCGGGGAAGGTTGTCCGTTCTCCACCGCGGCCAGAGCGGACTGTAACAAACACAGACGGTCCTGGAGCCTCTCGCTGGTGCAGCCCAGCTCCCGCAGGGACTTGGTGACTATGTCCACTGCCCTCTTCTTCACACATATCCTGCACACACAATGTTCCTCAAACTACAGGGTACAATAAACTATGATAGGGCACAATATGGATTAAAAACACAAGGTAATAAGACCAAATCCAAAGGCTCCACCAGACCACCTCTTGGAATGTATGGAAGCCTCAAGACAGGACCCCAACCCTACCAAGATTGTGAATTTGATCAATGAATATAGTCTCCATGACCTTGTATATATATATATTTCCGCTTATCCCTAGTACACGTGGTACAGGCCATAATAATCATGGTGGGTAGAAGTTGGTGACTGTTTTTACTGTAAGTGCACCACATGTCTATACATGTGAGAAGCAGTTCGACTTTGCACTTATAAATGTGCCAGAGCCCCATTTGGTTACTTGCACTTGCCGGTGGGGTTGGACTTTTGCAAGAATCGGGGGCCATTGGAGCATTTTTTTTAAATGTGGGAATCGAACCCGGGTGGTAGCGGTCGAAAACCAACATTTTAGACCATCCTTCCACCGACCACCAATCAATATTTTATGTATAAAATTAAAGTGACATCATTGAACAGACCCACCTTGTAACACACAGTGAATTATGACAGGGAGAGAGACTTACTCCTTAGAATGGGGGGGACATTCCAGCAGCTCCTTGCTCCAGACTTCCATCTGTGTTCTCTTCTCTTCCAGCTCTTGGTTGACTCGAGCAAGCTGCTGGCAGCTCTCCTCATACCTGGGACATCAATCATATCTAGTGTTGAGAGACCAGGGACATACACAGGAGTTTCTTAGTTGATATAAGGTACAATTTGGATTATAGATTAGAAATAAAAGGTCATAAGCCCAAATCCAAATAAATAGTGTGTGACATTTCAGTAACAGTGTTGTTATTACCTGGTCTTATTACCTTTTATAGGAGTTTCTTAGATTTATCACAAAACTACTTCAAAAAACAAGAACTTTGCCAAAAAGTTTCCTTTCCTACAATTCATTTTAGAACCAAGACAGTATAACAAAAGAACATCATTTACTGAGATCTTGGTTGGATCAAAACATGTGAGTGATATGTTTTAAAACAATACATTTATATCCCACACTATGTTAGCAGAGTTCATGCTCTAAAGTTGGCTAACCGGGAGGAAAAAGAGCTATATCATTCTGTCAGGAAAATGGGCCACAAAAACACAATACAGACATACAATAATATTACCTACATACAGTTATCAGCGTCATAATCAATTCTTTCTTAATTAATTCTGTCACCGTTTGCTTTTGTGAATGGAATAAATGCCCAAATATGGCCATTTCTCATTACCATCGGTGGTTCAGTGGTAGAATGCTCGCCTGCCACGCGGGCGGCCCGGGTTCGATTCCCAGCCGATGCATTTTTTTTTTTTTTTTTACAATTTTTAAAACTCATTTATATATTATACAAGAATGACATCCACGGCGCCAATTTATAATTGTAACAAATAGTATTTGAATAAAAGCATTTAATCGGGTAAAACCCGGGCGTTGCCCGGGTCATTCGGCTAGTATTGCCTACATAAATGAGCAGACCAAGATTCAAACATAAAAATCTTCCATAAATAAAAGAGGTACCAAATAACAACTTTAGTAGAACTTCTCTCTAAAGGACAACACCTAGTTGTGGAGCTAAAGTGTTTCTTTAGGGGGTGTCTTCTTACCGGAGAGTTTCTATATAGTAAAAATTGCAGCAACACATAAAACTCCGAGGATTTTTATGTGTTGCTGCAACTTGTATACCAGAGGATTCTATCTTACGAAATAGTAAAAATGGAAATTTTGGCGATGAAAACCGTTCTTTATAGAAAGCATTAGCTTTAGGAGGAGTGTCCTCTCATGGAGGTTTTACTGTATATAAAATAATAAATTTAATGTACACTAGAACTTCCCTGTAAAGGGTACCCAATTGCAGAGTTAAAGAGTCCTTTAGGGAGAGGTGTCCTCTTACTGGAGAGTTGTTAATAGTAAATATGGAAATTTTGCAAATGAAAACTGTCTTTTGTAGAGAGGTGTCTTCTAGCATGGGTATCCTCTCATGGAGGTTCTACTGTATATATTTTTATGTCTCAATTGGAAAATATCACTAAATAGGAAACAAGTAGAGAGAGAGAGACAAGAACTATGATATGGTGAAATTTGGAAAACAAATAAAAATTACAAGCCAACAAGAACAAATTTAACTAAGCTAATTATATGTCACTAGACGAATGGCCCGGGCAATGTCCGGGTTTTACCCGAGTGCGTATATATTTTAAAAACGTTTTAATTCAAATACTATTCGTTACAATTATAAATTGGCCCCATGGATGTCACTCTTGTGAAACATCCCAAAAATTGCCCTAATCATATTAAACAATACTATAAAAGCATACGAAATAAGTATTTACGAGAAATAGAAAAAGCTAGGAAAGCATCCTGGAGAATTTTTCTGGAGGAAAACAAATCGAACAACCCCTATGGAAACTTATATAAGGTGTATAAAAACATCAAAAGTGGATCTAATCGGAAGAGAAATATGCAAATTTTGGAGGGTAATACTGATATGGAATGTTTGCAGAAGGGTGAGGAATTATTGAATGACTTATTTCCAGATGATAAATGTGAAGAAGATACAAACATCCATAAAAGTATAAGAAATTATAATTTAAAACTACTCAATAAAGAAAAACCGATGGTTATGATTACTGAAGTTAACGACTTAATTGACAAATTAAATCCAAAGAAATCTCACGGAATAGACAACATCTCTAACAACATGATAAGGCACACTAAACAATTTATAGCTCCTATATTGGTGAAACTATTTCAAAAATGTTTAGACCTACAATACTATCCTGCTGAATGGAAAAGAGCAGAGGCAATAATTATTCCGAAACCTGGAAAAACAGATTTTAATAACTATAAAAATTATAGACCTTTATGTCTTAATTCCAACATTTCTAAAATATTTGAAAAAATAATTAATAATAGAATAATAAAATATTATGAAGATTTTAATTTACTAAGTGATCGACAACATGGCTTTAGAAGATCGAAATCTACTATTACTGCACTAACTGAAATAATAAAAATTGCGTTAGAACATAAAACAAGTGAATATGCAGCAATAATTGCAGTGGATATTAGTGCAGCGTTTGATAATGCATGGTGGCCGGCCTTGATGAAAAGACTAGATGAAGATGGTGTGCAGGCTTCAACGATAAAACTTCTACAATCATACTTTGATAATAGAAGAATAAGATTTAGATTTTCCTCAACTGAAATTAATAAGAAACTAAGTAAAGGATGTCCACAGGGAGGACCACTGTCTCCCACATTATGGAATATTCTTATTAATGAGATACTGAATAATAGTCTGGATGATAATTGTGAAACAATAGGATATGCAGATGATATTACGTTAATATGTTGGAATAAAACTCCTGAACAACTAAGAAAGACAATAGATAATGTATTAAGAAAAATCAATAAGTGGTGTGAAAGTCGTAAATTAAAATTGTCAGATGAAAAAAACAAAAATATTATATTTATATAAATGCAATAGCGATATAATAGTCTCAGGTAGCAAGTTAATTAAACCGGTTGAAGAACTTAAGATCCTAGGAGTGACTATTAAAAATCACCGAGTCAGAAGCAAACTGGACTTTACGCCTCACGTTAATGAAATGATCATAAAAGTAACTAGAGCTAGTGGATACCTATTTGGCCTGACAAAGAAAGCATGGGGTCTAGACTTTAGACGAAGACTGATATTGTATAAGACATTATATCGAAGTACAATTACTTATGGTTATTCAGTATGGTATCCATTCATAAACAAAAAGTCTAAGGACAAACTAAATTCTCTTCAATATAAAATATTAAAACATTGTATACAGGCCTACAGTACAACATCATCGGACTGTACACACATACTTGCACAAGTCCCCAAACTTACTGATTATATTGAATCTAACATGTTGAAAACCGAAATAAATTACAACCGATTTGACTCTTCAAGTAGGAATATAATTTCTAATTATATAAGGGAAAAAATGCAGAAATACTATGAGAAGACTAATACCACTTTCAAGTCCTTCTTCACTGACTCCCAAATACCCAAATATGTCAAGCCAAATTTTTACAGTGTCCAATTTTTTACTGGACACGGTAACTTTAGATCATATTTGTACAAAGTCAGAAAGACGGATTCGCCTAAATGCTCATGTGGTGCAGATGAAGAAAATCCTGTACATATTTTAACGGACTGTCGACTTGTAGAGGACTTGAGAGTCAAAAATCAAATAAATATAAATTGTCTAAATCAAATAGTTAATAATAGATATATGTATATAAATTTTAATAGATTTTGTAGAATGTTTTTTAGTAATAGATAGCCTGGGCTGTAATAACTGATATATAGTTATATGCTGTAAATAGCTCTAAATTTCTGTTCTTATCTGTGATGTTCACTAATATTCATTATAGGGTAATTAAATCGTTAACTAACTGACAAATATGTTAATAATTTCTATTATAATAACTAAAATCATATTAATAATTACTGTAAATAAGCTCCCAAACTTGTGTATGCATGCAAATATCCAAGACGGATATCGCGTGCTTTGTAAATGATAATAAATAAATAAATCCCGTTCCAAACTGTGTGTTTTTAAAATGTTTTAATTAAAATACTATTCGTTACAATTATAAAAGTAATTGTGCAAAACGATAATTGCCTTAGAAAGAAATTGCCTTAAAAAAAAAGAAACATTCGCGGTGATTTTGTCTTGCATTCGTTTATACAATTATTATATATATTGGCATCATATATTAACTTTATGAACAGAAAAATATGTCCAGGGTAGCCTAGTGGTCATGGCATCTGCCCGGTAAGCGGGAGTCGTGGGTTCGATTCCCATCCCTTGACACTTTTTTTATTTTATCCATTCTGACCAAAATCTATCCGTGAACTTCACACAGACAGAATAAGGCAATTATATAAGTAGATGTTTTGGTAATGACATTAACACAAAAAAGTCACGGATAATTTAGTCTTGTTACCTTATGAACCAAAAAATACATGGCAAAAAGATAAGCACACAAGAAATTGAAGCAACAAAGAACAAGAGAATGTATCATGTTAAATACTTTCAAATGTAGAATGTAAGTAGAGGTCACATTGGGAACAGGTGCCATTTCTTGTTTGGGGATGGAGTTCTTTGAGAAGTATAAAGTATCACTTTTTTTTCATTCATTTTAATAGAGTGTAGATTTGCTACTTTTGTGATGTCTTAGATATAGCTAAGAATGTCTATTCAAATAAGGCATAATTTGGATTAGTTATTAAAAACACAAAGTAATAAGACCAAATCTAAATAAATAGTGTGTGACGTTTCTGTGTAACAGCGTTGTTACCATCTTCAAACAAAAGTACTGAATCAATCATTCAATACTTTTGTCTCAAGATGGTAACAATGCTGTTATCGAAACATCACACACTATTTATTTATATGGATTGGGTCTTAATACTTTGTGTTTTTAATGTCTATTCGAGAGTGTTGAGAAAAAGTTGGGAGAGAAGCTTGTTCCTGACATGATCCAAAGCCACAGTAACATTCCCCAAAAATCTTTACTTGCCTGGGTGTACAACAGCGGGACAACCAACCACCCAGTAGTTGAGATATCCCCAATTAAAGGACCCCAGTACCAATAGATGACGGATGACTCACTTGTTCTGGAGCTGGGAGAACGTGGTGTCATCCACAGCCAGCCGGCCTGGATGGAGGTTGCCCATGTAGTCTGATAGGAGGGAATCATCAAACTCAAACTTGGAGGCAGGCAGCGGGGAAGACCTGGAACATCCATTCAACGTGAGATCCAAACCTGTCTATTTTCCCACACAGAGGAGATCCCCATCTTGAGATAGGTTCATTAGACTTTTGTGGTATTTTAAAATATGTACAGTTAAACCTGTCTATAGCGCCCCCTCTTGGGACTCACCAAAATAGGGTGCTATAGAGAGGGGGTGCTATAGACAGGTCACTTTTAATATACAGTAAAACCCCTCTATAGTGAACCCCAATGGGACAGAGCTTTTGGTTCACTATAGCCACGGTTTGGCCATTTTTTTTTACTTTTCAAAATTTTTAGACCGTATAATTAAAGGACAGCCATACACACTGGAAGAGGCTGCCTCTTAATAGTGGTCACTTTGTTTTAATCCCCTTAATTGACCAATTTCCTTATATTAATACTAAATAATAATAATAGAAATCATTAGATGATAGGTTCTTCTTGTCATTAGCATGCATGTACCTCTATGTCTAATTTAAAAATCAAGACAAAACCTAGGCAAAGTTTTATTAAATATATATTCAAAGATATAAAATGATTTTAAAACATCATTATCACATTATATAATACAATGTTTATTTGGAAAAATGGCTCTAACACCATGTTGCTTCAAAGCATTCTTCAAGCATTGCACCATTCAAATAAAGTTAGTGTTTTACTTCCATTTCATTTTCCCACATATTCTTCTAGGTCTAGAGTTCGTTTTTTTTTTGTTTTTTTTTTTGTTTTTTTTTTTTTAACCTGTCACGCAAAACATTGCTGACTTTAAAATCACCATAGTTAATGGCATAAAAATAATTTTTGTTTCATCACGGGACCGTTTATTTGGACTTTTTTTTTTTTTTAAGTTCTAAAACGTACGATCGCGATCGCGGCAAAAATTGAGGTTGATTCCTCTTTGTAACTATTTTTAATGGCTTTATATTTTATCTTTTATAATATAAAATTTATATTCTCTTATTTTAATATGTTCTTAACATTTAGCCTGTGTTGTTTCACTTTGAAAAGTTCTGAACATGGCATTTTTTTTAAAAAAGAAATAACGCTTTTGTTTTTAAAATGCCTTTGTTTTCTTCATTTTGGGAGCCGTTTGCATTTTTTAAATTTCAAATTTAATGGATGCAAATATATTCTATTTAATAAAAAGTAATTTGTGTTAAAATTTATACAACATACAGCAAAAATAAAGTGCAAAAATCAAAACAAACAATGCCGCTAAATTTATTGTTTTGAAATCGCGATTCGCGAGCTGAAATATGCTCAAAATTTTGTTGTTTTAATTTTTTTTTTTAAATTACAATTCTAAGTTCGTTATAAGCATAGTATTTTTAATAGATTTTATCATTTTGGGACCGAAAATAGGTGCGTTATAGGGGTAGTTCGTTATTCTAAAAATCGCAAAGTTCGTTATAACGGTGGTATTTTCAATGGAATGGAATTGGGAATCGGCGTGGGTTCGTTATAAGGGAAGGTTCGTTATATCCAGGGTTCGTATTAGCGGGGTTTTACTGTAAATCACATCGTACTACGTATTTAAAATTGGGCGCTATAGAGAGGAAGGCTCTATTTAGAGGGGGCGCTATAGACAGGTTTAACTGTATATGCAAACAGGTTAGAAAGATTTTATATACAGTAAAACATCCATGAGAGGACATCCGTGCTAGAGGACACCTCTCAATAAATGACAGTTTTAATTTGTAAAATTACCATTTTTTACTATTCAGCAACTCTCTGGTAAAAGGACACCTCTTCCTAAAGGACACATTGTGTCTGCAATTAGCTGTCCTTTACAGAGAAGTTCTACTGTATATAGGATAGGTTTGACAGATTCTATATATATAAAAGGTTAATAGAGTATCTAAAAAGATTTACAATTAACATATATGTGGGGTGAAATTCAAAATAAATAGACAAACATCAGGAATAGGTGTACAAGAAGTAGACCAGAAGACATCACAGCTATGACAAGCTGGACATTATCTAAAGAGACAAGGGTCACCTCTCCCATCTCCCGTAGATGGCGTCTGGTTTTTGACGGGAGAGGCGACCCTCGTCTCTTTAGATCAATATTCTCCCGGAAAAATTTCCATCTATAAGCTGAACATTGTTACACCATAAGTTTTAAATGGAAAAAGAAGACAGAACTGGGACCCTAGTCAGATGGTTCTAGCTTACAGCTTGTGTTTAATTATATGCAGATTTGTACCTCAAATCAAAAATGTACAATATTCACTCCAATCATAAATATACCATATTTATACCCAATCATTACATTTTATTATTGAATTATTAGATACAATTTGGATTGTAGATTATAAACACAAGGTAATAAGACCAAATCCTGTTTAGAAATCCTAAGATATTTGGTCTTATTACCTTGTATTTTTATTCTTCAATCTCTCCCAGTTTATAGTTGTTTAAAAATGGCCCCCCAACTTCTCCTATTTGGTAGTGTGGGGTAGTAGAATGTGCTGAGAAGAAACAAGAACAAGCTAGTGAGAGTAGGGGCTCACGTGTTCTGTTCCAAGAAATCCTTATATTCCTCCTGTGGGGTGAGGGCATCGATGGCTGTGCCCAGAGAAGCCTGAAGGTCATCCAGGGAGTCCTTCTGGATGTTCATGTGTTTGTTGTAGTCCTCCAGGATATCCTTCCTGCACATGGCATCAACTGTTGGTCAGCACATGGCATCAACTGTTGGTCAGCACATGGCATCAATGGGCATTCATGTGAACATTAGACTAGAGTACAACTGGAGAGATTTTCCTTACCAACCAGCAGCAGATGTCATTTGAAAACCAACCACTCAGGGAACCACTCGTCACCTCCTAACAAAACCAACTACCCAGGACAACTGGACACCTCCCAGCAAAACCACCCAATCATGGATCACTGACACCTTCCAGTGGAAAGAGATACCATTTCAGCAGTATAACACCAAATGAATTATATAACAAAATCATAATTGCTGATGGAATGAACAATCACCTAAAACAAGAGCATCTTGGTTATAACATCTTAATTACAAAGTCCCAGTTATTTTAAAACCTTGCGGATAAATCCTGGTAGATCCATTGAATCCCAAACAGACTGACCTACTTTGGACATAAAATGAGAGCAAATGGATTAGAAAAGATGTTTATGTTGGAGAAAATTGAAGGAAGAGAGGAAGACCTTCAATGAGTCAAGAAAGCTACCTGAATGATGAGGTCAGTAACAGATAAAATTGGAGAAAATTTATCCATAGAGTTACCAGAAGTTGAACTCTTCTTGATGGATACTAACAACAAGCAACATAAAACACAACACGGTAAAGCACAATTTGGATTATAGATTATAATACAAGAAAATAATACCTAATCCAAATAATTTAATAGTGTGTGATGTTCCGGCAAAAGTATTGTCACTATCATCAGACAAAAGAATAAAAATAGATTTTATTCTTTTGTCTGATAATGGTGACAATGCTGTTGCCGAAACGTCACACATTATTAAATTATTTGGATTAGGTGTTAATTTCTTGTAAAAACACAACAAAAAACCTTGGTCAAAGTGATGTTGATATAGTGAGGTTGGTTCGACTGTAGAGCTTACAACCTTTCTAAGTCAATGGACTTTAATATAAGACTAAAATATTCCAGGGTATTTTGATAAGGTACAATTTGGATCATAGATTAGAAACACAAGGCAATAATCCAAATAAATAAATAGGAAATATCTTTATTTAGGGGGCTGCTAACCAGAATGGATGATTTTTGAGCCCGAAATAAATAAATTTTTATTTCAACACACAAAACGCAATATCCTGGCTTGGGATAATTGTGTCGATTTACATTTTTTAAAACCGAAACAGTTATAAACATATTATACAAGAAAAAGTAATCAAAATAAAAAGAGAAACAATAATATATATTAGGAACCTGAACCTTTCAGGTTTGAAAGACAATCATAAATATATCTACAAAAATAGTTAAATCTATGATAATTCTCTCTAGTATTTACAAATTGATATAGATCTACAACATTGTTTATTGTCTGTTGTCTAGCGGTGAAGAAGAGTGGACATTCCAGCAGTAGG